AGGGTGCCCAGGCACAGCTGGGATGAGACTAGTTGAGCAAAAGCGCGGATCGCAGAAGGGACTGGCCATCCCAGGTGGCTCGCTGCCAAGTAACAGAGCGCCCATCGCTTCCTTTCCCCGAGTCTTGGCTTCTTTGTGGACAATGGAAGCCGCGGAGCTTCCCATGCTCCTGGCATCAGACTTGGAGGCCCTGTGTCTGGTGTGGTAGGTGACACTTGTTCAAGGCTGAGCGGGCTGCAGCTGGGGCCGGGGCAATTTCTGGTGCTTGAAGGTCACTACAAGGTGACTCTAGGGAGCAGAATCCAGGACAACAGCTGACCCTTGAACTACAGAGTTTAAACTGCATGGCTCCACTTCTACGTGGATTTATTTTGATAAATTCAGGACAGAACCATAAATGTGTTTTCTTTTCCTTATGATTTTCTAATAACATTTGCTTTTTTTCCTAGCTTATTGTTAGAATACAGCACAGAATACCTGTAATATACAAAGTGTGTGTGATATAAAATTCGACTGTTTATGTTGCCAGCGAGGGGCCTGGTCCAGAGTAGGCTATCAGTAGTTAAGTTTTGAGGGAGTCAAAAGCGATTTTCAGATTTTTGACTGTATGGGGCCAGGGGGTGATGGTGGTGGCACCTAATACCTCCCCCTGCCCTGTTTAAGGGTCAGATGGAACTTCCTAAGTGGCATCAACCCAGCGTGCCGGGCTCGTGTTCCAGATGCCACGTAGGTTCTGGTCGGTAAAGGTGCCTTTGAGAGGTGTTGTGGCTCTCACAGCTGCAGTGTAATGAACTTGCTCACACTCAGAACTCTCAGAGGGCTGCGTGGGATGGGGCTTCCCATCTCTACAGGTATACAAGTACAGCCTGGGTGGCAATTTGTCGTGATTCAGGTATGGTGTGGAAAATTGGCCCAAATAACTCAAAATGTTCCTTTAGATTCTGGGATTCTATGACCTGAACCAGAGCCCTGGTGCCCTGAGAAAGCAAACAGCTTCTGCAGGGAAGGATGAGCAGCAGAGTACTCTCCAAGGGAAGGGTCTGGAGGTGAGAATGTGGGGCCCATTCCTCCCCACCCCAGTCAATGAACAACCACCCCTCCACCAGGCTGCTTTCATCCCCCCCTCCCCACCTTGGAGCCGGTCTGGCCTCTTCTCTCTGAGGGGGTAACAGCGATTGTTTGGAATTCTGGGGGTTGGGGAGTGGTCAGCAGATTGATGAGGAACAGAAGTTCAAAGTCCCCTTTTTTCTGCGTCCCTCTCTGAACTTCCTGCACTGGCCTCAGGGCTGCATCAACAGCTTCTCAGTGACTTCTGGGGCAATGCAGAGGAGAGAGGGAACTCCCTTCAAAAGAAGCATCATGAAGAACACAGCTTCCAGGTCTGCAGGCGGGAGTGCTAGCTCCCTCCAGCCTGGCCCGCCTACGGAAGGCTACCTCCCACCCCCACCCCTCCCCCAAGAGGAAGCCTCAAGTAAGCCTGGGCCAGCCTGGCATTGGGAGCCAACCAAGGGCCACTTGCTCACCAGAGGCCTCAGCTTCAAGGAGCCAGGGACTCTGTGACTCCTGGGACTCAGAACTCCTGGTTTCACATTCTCTCCCCCCTGGGATGGCACCATCTTCAGGGTGGACAGATGCTTATTCATAGGCCCCAGAGGCCCCATAAACAAGGGTTAAGTCAAGCCCTGGATGTGGGCCTGACTCGCTAGGCCGTCAGATCCATATCATGTAAAATTAGCAGTTGGACCACATGCTCCTGCTAGCCCATCCTGCTCTGAGCTCTGTGGAGCCAGAGGCATTCCCTGCTGCGGGGATGATAGAATGTGTCCCAAGGCAGATGTTTCGAGCTCCTCGCTGGCAGCAGCAGCTGGAAGGAGTCCCCAGGGTGATACTTTCATGCTCTTCACCTGGACCTGACCAGAGAGTTTACTCTCTGCTAAGAATTTTCCAGAGAGCTGGAGAGGAAAGGCAGGAGCATCTGCCTATTCGGCAGGGTCAGGGAGGGAACTGCAGACCAAGTACCTCACATGCCTGCCTCCCCGTGGGCAGCCAAGGGTTGGGCAAACATAGCTGGTGACCCCAGGCTCTGGCACTTACCAGGTGCCCCAGCAAAAGGTGCTGAATTTCTTTGTAACTCTACTCTTTGCGACTCTACTTTCTTTGTCTATAAAATGGGAATAATAATACCTACCTCACAGGAGATAGCAGTGGTGGGAAGGAAGTGACATGAGGTATGGTAACCAGCCAGCATGATGCCCAGCATTCAGACAACGGAAGGGTTACTGTCAGGGTTTCAGGGGAAAGAGAGGGAGCCAGACAGGGTCAAGTGTCCCCGGGCCTCCCTCCTCTCTGGGGCTCAGCTCTGCTGTGTCCTCTGCTGATCCAAAAGCCCCCACAGCTCTGTGCGTTGCTGACTCAGCAACCCAGAGAAGGCTACTGGCAGTAAGTACTTACTGGAAAGAAGGAATGAATTGGGGGGTGGATAAATGACAAACGAACGAATGACTACCTCACACTACAGACAAGAAACACAGGTGAGAGTGGTTAAGTCCTGGCTGGAGGGCAAACACCTGGCGGGCAGTCTTTTCCAGAGCTTTTTGGTGCCTATGAATTGCTTCTCTCTGGGCATCATCACCCATGTCCAGGAGGGCACAGGGCAGGTGGGGTGAGGGGCAAGGCTACTGAGCCTCATCTGTGCCAGACTGTTATCCTGGCCGCACCCAAACTCCCTGAGGCGAGAATCTTCTTATTCTACAGATGAGGAAATCTGGTCTCAAAGAAGCTACGTGGCCCATTCCCATTGGGGCAGCAAGAATGCAGGGGTTCCAACCCAATACTAACTCCTAAGCCCCAAGGCAGCTGCTCGGCAGGGGGATCCTATAATCCACACGTTTACTTGGCACAGGTGAGGCCACACCTGTGCCAGCACCTTTCCATTCTCTCCTTGCTGTTAAGAGGTCAAAACCAGGACTAGAACTTGCTCTGCTGACCTCAGCCCGGGGTTCCAGGATGTTTGTACAAATCAGAATCAGTTGATTTGTACAAACATCCAGCAATGGTTCACCTGTGGCTGCAGCGGGGAAGGCGGTGAGAAAGACAGCAGGGTGGCAGCACTGGCCAAGGCCTAGCGCCCTCTGGCTGAGCCGGAGGGACCCTGAGCAGCGTCTCTAGGGTGAGGCTCTGTCAGCTTGCTCAGGCTTCCGCAGGGCGCTTTGGACCAGCACCACCCAGAGAGGGAGAGCTGTGGCCAGGGGCCTGTGCCTGGCACTCGCGTCCTCAGTCCCCAAAGCCGGGCGGGTTAATGCAGCCCTTGTCACCCAGCTCCCGCTGCCCTTCTCAACCACACCGTCCCACGCTAATCTCAGGTCTTTCTCTGGCCCACCAGATGGGCCTGGGGTCCGGGCAGGGTGGGGGGCGGGTGGCCCCCCAGACCTCTCCTCCTGCCCCCACGTGTCCCCGGCCGTGATGAGTGGACCAAAGTGCCAAGGTGAGCAGCCCTCGCGTCTGCGCGGTGGCCGGCACGGTGACGAGCGAGGAGCACGCTCGGGACCAAGCAGCCGGGGCAGGGGAATCCGAGCCCGGCCGGAGTCGGCCTGGGGGCTCCCTGGGCGGGGGCCTCTTCCGAGGGCCAAGGTGGCACAACCCAGAGAGACTCGGGGCTCGCTCGGCCTTGGGTCCCGGCCTTGGGTCCCGTGGCGTCGTGTTGGCGCTGGTCACTCACTCGGAGCGACCATGACGCACAGACCCCGTCTAGATGTCAGGTTCGGTAGCAAATCGAATTTTAAGGGCTAACGCATCTGCGCTGCTTCGAGGGTCCGCGGGGCTCAGGCGCTCCGTCTGCCTCCCGGGACCTCGTCCTCGGCTGGACGCGCGGCGTCGGTGGGGCCCGCGGTGGAGCTGAACCGATCCCTGCCGCCGCCGACCTCCCTCCCGCAGCGAGTGCGCAGCGCGTGCCTCCACCCGCCACCCCCCACCACCCACCACCCGCCACCCCGGCCCGAGGCTAGGGCGGCGCCCCCCGCGGGCTCTCCGCCGCCCGCCCGCCCGCCCTCCCTCCCGGCTTCTGGCCGCGCCCCAACATACCAGGTAGCCCGCTGCCGCTGGCCGGCCCCCCCAGAAGGCTGGCGAAGGTCATCACTTGCGACGCACAGCTGAGCCCGCTGCCGAGCACGTCCTCGCATCGCCCCGGGCTGCCTCCGCGATTCCTGCCCGCGCTCCTTTGAGATCTTGGCTCCAGCTTAAGCTCACCGTCTCCGCCCGGACCTGTGCTTTCCGGCTGTCGGTCGACGTCCGTCCGTCTATCCGGCCGGCCCTTCCAGCCGCTAGCCCTCGCTCTTCCCCACGGGTCCCCACCGCGCTCCGGGCCGCGCGCTCCGGGCCTGGGAGGCTGGGGCGGGCCGCGCAACCTTCGAGCCGGCGGGGGCAGGCGCGCCCCTGTGGGAGCCCCGCGCGCCCTGTGGCCTCCGTGCGCCCTCGGGCCTCGCCGTGCGCCCCGGCCCGAGGTCCCGGCCCCCGCCTCCGGAGTCCCGGGCACTCGCGGAACCGCCTCGGCAGGGGAGTGGGGACGCAGCGGGGCGGTGCGCGCGGCGCCTCGGAGCCGGCGGCTCCGGAGCGCGGAGCGCTGGGGCGCGGCGTGGGCGGCGGGGTCGCAGCGCCGTGGGGAAGGGAGGCGGGGCCCGCTTCGCGGCGGGAGCCTCCGGCGGGGACCGCGGGCGGGCGAGTGGGGGCCCGGCGCTCGGGCGCGGGGAGGAGGCTCCGGGGCCCGAGTCCGCGTTAGGCCCGAGTGGGGGGCGCGGTGCTGCGGCTCCAGCGTTCAGCAGGGGGCGCTGCTCCGGGCGCTGGGCGGGGGTGGGGTGGGAGGGGAGGGGGCCGCGACTGGCTGCGCACGCTTCCCCCATTATTAAACACTATGTTCAAAAGGCGCCGGGGGACTTCCCGGAGCCACGGAGCCGCGCCGCCCGCCCGCCGCCCGCCCGCCGCCCGCCCGCCGGCCCACGGAGCCCATGGACCTGAGCGCGGCCGCCGCGCTGTGCCTCTGGCTGCTGAGCGCCTGCCGGCCCCGCGACGGGCTCGAAGCGGCCGCCGTGCTGCGAGCGGCGGGGGCAGGGCGGGCCGCGGGTCCGGGGGGCGGCGGCGGCGGCGGCGGGCGGGCCCTCGCCCCGGCGGCGGGCGTCTCCGCTGCCCCGGCCGCCGCGGCTCCCGGAGCCCGCGCTGCGCGGAGGGCCGCCGGCCCCGGCTTCAGGAACGGCTCGGTGGTGCCCCACCAGTTCATGATGTCGCTTTACCGGAGCCTGGCCGGGAGGGCTCCGGCCGGCGGGGCCGCCGCCTCCACCTCGGGCTCTGGCCGCCGCGGCCGCGCGGACACCATCACCGGCTTCGCAGACCAGGCGAACCAAGGTACTCGCGCCTCCTCGGCGCCCGTGCGTCCCGTCCGCTCCTGGGCTGCGGCCACCGCCGGAGCCGAGCCCCCCGCCCCGCTCCAGAGCCCTCGGGGCGCGGCCCCTCACGTCCCAGCCTCGGGGGGAGAGACTCCGCCGAGGCCCACGCACCCCAAAGGGCTGAGCCGGGGCCCTCCGCCGGACCGTCCTGGCCCTGCCGGCCGGCCGGGTCCCCTCGAGGAGGCAGGATCCGAAGCACGAAGGGGCCCGGGCCGAGAGGGACTGCGCCGTGACGCTGGTGGTGGGAGCGGCTGTTTCACTGCAGCAGCAAACTCTGCAGCTTCTAGCTCCTGGTCGGCTGGGGGGGGGGGGGCACAAACTGGGGGAAAATCAGGGGAATGAGAGAAAGGCAGGCTGCAGTAAACGGCCCCTGGAGAGGCTGGTGGCATCACCAGGTACTCGGAGGTCCCCTCTCGGCAGGCTGTGTCAGGGTGGAGGTGTATGGCTGTGGGTGCCCCTGCCCTGTGCTGGGCCCCTGGGACAGCCGGAGGTGGAGGACTCCAGTCGTGGGACGTGGAGAGGATGGTGGGTGAGACCCTGCGGGAATGCAGGCCTGGTTGGGACAAGCACCCCACCTTACTCTGTCCCGGGTCCTTCAAAGGTAGGACGTGCGTATGACTGTGGCGGTTGCCGTGTGTCATCTGGATTTTATTAATCCCTATTGAAGTCATTAAAGCAGACAGATAGGGAAAATTTAACTAATTTCAGGCGGAAATGCAAGTAATGTTGGCCTTAATTCTATCCAGCCAGAGACCCAGCATGGAAGGCAGGAGGGAAAAAAAGGGGAATAGGGCTGGAAAGGAAGCGGCAGGCTGGCTGAGCCCGGGAGAGTCTCTTGCCGTACACCACCCCAGACTCTGGCCCCGGAAAGCAGGTAGAGGTGGTGCAATGAGGAAATCACCCACCTCCTCCTACACACACACACACACACACACACACACACACACACACACACACCATGCCTACACACAGACTGCTTTATTTTGGGTGCCGGGACCTCCTGGGCCCAGATGGCCCTATAGTTCAGTGGGAACCATCAAGCATTCTCTGAAGGCCTGGTATGCTCCCTGGATTGGATGCTGAGTACTCCTACAAAGCCTGGGTGCTGGTGTCCAGGGCCCCTGCAAAGGTTCCAGCCTTGAGGCTGCTGCGTGTGCCCCCAGGATAGAGGGGAGGTGGGTGTGCAGGACGCCAGCTGCTTTCTTAAGTAGACTTAGGCCTACCGTTAGCCTCAGCCTGAGCTAAATCTTTTCTTGTGGAGCTCTGCTTGGCTGGCAAGGCTCTGAGGGCACTTCTCTTCTTCCCTCTGTAAGGAGAGGATGCAGTGGCAGCACTCTGGCCTGGGCAGATGCTGCAGAGGCAGCTCAGAAAAAAATGCTCGGGGGAGCCCAGAGGGAAAGCAGTGGCAGGGGGTGGGGGGAGGAAGCACTTGCCCTGCCCTCGGAGCCTCCCTCCCTCTCCACTCTGAGCTTCAACTTGGAGCAAGGTTACTTGAGGTCCCCAGAAGCCACTGGCAGAGCCCAGACTCTGGACCTCAGGAGGTGAGGGCCTGGCGGCAGTGGTGGGCGAGCAGATCTTCAGTGGCGGGGGCAGTGTGCACAGTCTGTCCGACTTTGGGGCAAAGCGAAACCATATGACCTTCTGAGGGAGCTCCTTATCTGCTGCTCTCGGTGGAATTTCAACCGTTTTTTTTCCCTCCCTAAGCCCAAAAAGAAAAAAAAAATAGTGCCCACGACCAGAAATAAAACCCCCAAACCCTGAGAGGTAAGTCATGACGGAGGGAAGGAGTGTATCTGCGAAGGGATCGGCGGGTCCTGGAGGCGAGCCCTCCCTGAGACGCTGCCCTCACTGCAGCAAGGAAGGCAGCCGGGGCTGCCCCAAACCCTTCGGAGAAGGTTCCTTGCGCTCCTCTGCCGCCTTCCCACCTCCATCGGAGGTGGCAGAAAGTCGGGAGAAGCTGAGCTAGGGGCTTCCCACCGCGGCCAGCAGCGCTCGCCGCTAGGAGCCCGTGGCCGAGCCGGGCGCCTCCCGCCTGGGCCTTAGCTCGCCTGCAGCGTAGCGGGGAGGCTGGATGCCCTGGAGGGTCGGCAGCGCGGCTGACGCGTCGCCCCTGGACGACTGGCACGCAGGGCCCCAGCCTGCAGGGCAGGCAGGTCGTGGCCGGCAGGAGGGTCCAGGCGGAGCCGGGGCAGAGGCAGCCCAAGCTGCAGAGTTTTCAGGGGACGTGAACGGTCCGTTTCGCCCAGCCGGGCCTCCGCGGCCGTCCCGGGGCCTGCGCTGGGCGACAGTGCGCAGTCCCGGCACAGCGCGGGGGCTCCGCGGGCCTCCGGACCCTGGGCGGGGCGCGGGGCTTCTGAGGAGCCCCCGGGGCCTTCTGTCCGCCCGCAAGTCTGCCTTGGGGTCTAGGCCCCGCGAGCCCGAGGCTGTGCGTCAGGCAGCGGCAGCCGTCGTGGCCCCGAGGGGCGCGGGGGGGGGGGGCGGGGCTCGGCGGTAAGTGGGTGCGGTGGGTCGTCGCGGTGGCAGCGCGTTGGCGGGTCGGGGTGGGAGCCGCGGTCGGGGTCGGGGCGGGAGCCGCGGTCGGGGTCGGGGTCGGGGCGGCCGTCTAACCGCCTCACCGCGCTCGCTCGCTCGCTCGCTGCAGCTGGGAGGCCCCGCGGCCCGGGGTGCGGGGTGGCTCTCCGCTCTCACCGCGCCCTTTCTCTGTCTCTGCCCGACTCCTGCAGACGACTCGCCCGCCGAGACCGGCCAGAGCTTCCTGTTCGACGTGTCCAGCCTCCCCGACGCCGACGAGGTGGTGGGAGCCGAGCTGCGCGTGCTGCGCCACGAGTCGCCCGGGCCGGGTGCCGGCCGCGCCGCCGCGCCGCCGCTGCTGCTGCTGTCCACCTGCCCCCGCGCCGCCCGGGCGCCGCGCCTGCTGCACTCGCGGGCCGCCCAGCCCCTGGCCCGCGCGCGCTGGGAGGTGTTCGACGTGGCCGACGCCGTGCGCCGCCACCGCCGGGAGCCGCGCGCCGCCCGCGCCTTCTGCCTGCGGCTGCGCTCGGTGGCCGGGCCGTCGCGGGAGCCGCTGGCGCTGCGGGGGCTGGGCTTCGGCTCGCGGGGCGCGCGCGGCGCGGCGGCCGAGGAGCGCGCTCTGCTCGTCGTGTCCTCCCGCGCGCACAGGAAGGGGAGCCTGTTCCGGGAGGTCCGCGCGCTCGGGGCCGCGCTGGCCGCGGAGCCGCCGCCCGACCCGGGACCCGGCCCCGGGTCGCCCGCGGCGGTCCCCGGGGGTCGCAGGCGGCGGCGGACGGCGCTGGCCGGGGCGCGGCCGGCGCAGGGCGGCGGCGGCGGCGGCGGCGGGGGCGGGGGCGCGGGCCGGGGCCACGGGCGCAGGGGCCGGAGCCGCTGCAGCCGCAGGCCTCTGCACGTGGACTTCAAGGAGCTGGGCTGGGACGACTGGATCATCGCGCCGCTGGACTACGAGGCGTACCACTGCGAGGGCGTCTGCGACTTCCCGCTGCGCTCGCACCTGGAGCCCACGAACCACGCCATCATCCAGACGCTGCTCAACTCCATGGCGCCCGACGCGGCGCCGGCCTCCTGCTGCGTGCCCGCGCGCCTCAGCCCCATCAGCATCCTCTACATCGACGCGGCCAACAACGTGGTCTACAAGCAGTACGAGGACATGGTGGTGGAGGCCTGCGGCTGCAGGTAGCCTGCGGGCCCGGCCCGGCCAGGGAAGGGGCAGCTGCGCCGCCCCCCGGGACCCCCCTGCCCCCGCCCCCGCCGAAGAGCGGGTGCGCGTCGGACTGGCCCGAACCCGCACCGTGGAGGGAGAGCGCGCGTTCACACTCGCACCCACACACTCATGCACACCTTTCCCGTGGGCAGCATCCTGCGAACAAGAGATGACCTGACCTCCCCGAACGAACGTGTACTCCGCAAACTCTCCGTCGCACCTCCCACCGCCCCCTCTTGGAGAGAGAGGATGGTGGGTGTGTTAAGGTTGCAATGACAGGCACCAAGTCCGGTAGAAACGGGTTAGGGAATTGGGGGTTCCAGAATGGGTGAATTAATGGGGGTAGTGGAGTGACTCTTAGCCCACCCCCTTTTTCTTTGTGGCTGAGTGCGGGCGAACGCCAGGCTGGGTGGCTCAGTGCCCGCTGTTGCGCCCCGGTGTGACCTCCCGCCCTTTCTGAACATTTGCGTTGCGTGGAGGCCGTTTACTCCGGGAAGGAACCGCTGCAAAAGGCGTGTTTATTCTTTGATTTTAAAAATCTAACGTGCCCCTTCGGTTTTGAAAGGGAATATTTGTCCGAAAGAATTCATGGTGGAACTACCCAGATCTCTGCAAGGGTCAGCACTACCCTTTTAAAAAACGTCAGTTCTAATTAGGAATGATCTAGAATGTGGTGGGGGGGGATGTTTTTCTTCTGAGGGGGAAGTGAAATGGTGGAGAGGCTATAAACCGCCAGTCTGGTCTGATATGAACTTGGGGGTGGGGTGGCATGGGCCAAGTTCTGAAGCTTCAGGGCTGGGCAGCTCACGGTGGCAGCGATGCCTTGGGGGTGCTGAGGGGGAGGCTTAGTGCAGTGGCTGGGAATAGGGAAAGGCCGACTGCTATGCCTTTTCCTAGAGACCCGCCAGGAGGTTTTGCTAAGGAGCTGAGAAAGAGGCTGGGAGGCGTCCTGGGGCGGGCTTCTGCAGAAGTCTCAGGCTCCTCTGCCAGGTAGGCGCAACCGTCTCCAAATGGTGTGCTCGCTATGTGCCAACATGTGCTTGTGCTTAGCTATCAAGTCTGTGTTGGCTTTTACACGCTCTCACTGTGTTGTTGCTGTAGGTTTTGGCAGTGTGATAGTAACGGGAAGTGAAGCTACACAAAAGTGCTTTTGTGAGATTTCAGCTCCCCGCGAACCCAGTGGTTCAAGGCAGGAGGAAGCCCCTCACCGCCCCTCCCTTCTGCAATGTAGAGGGGCATTTGCAGCTTGGCTGCTGTGGCCCCTTCAGAAGGGCAAGGGCCTTGGTGGGGAGTGGGGTGGGGGTGGGGGGCAGAAGGGGAAGCCTCTCCTCCAGTCCTGTCTTTGTCTAGTTGATGGTAGGACTGCCTGCCCCTGTGAAGGGAAGCTGGAACACCCATCCTACATTGTTTTATTTGGTTCATTTCTGCCTGGGAGTCCTTTGTGGCCTTGCCTAAACAGTTGAGGGAGGAGAGGAGGAGGAGAGGAGAGGAGAAACGATGTGGACTCCACCTGTCTGGGGCTCCGGAGGGCTTCTTTGAAAACCCCTGCCGCCTCCCTGGGTATTGTTTAAGGTCATGCTGGGCTTTCTCCTTCGGGGTTCCTGAGAAAGGCATCCATTCCATGCTTCTTGTCTTGGATGCTAAAGTCCAGATTTTAATTCTCAGTGATTTAATATTCCAGAGAGAAGAATACTAAGGATTTAGATACAGCAAATTTACTTAAGGGCCCCACCTGAATCTGTTTTATCCCGTAAAATTTCCCCCAAAGGAAAAGAAAATGCACTTATAATATGAATTTATATGCTGTGGCTATGTGAGTAGCTATAAATAATCAGAAAATGCAAGTCTCTTTAGGTTAAAACACACAAACACAATTCCCAAAGTGGCAGCCATGGTACACTTCCTCTCAATTTCAGTGACCCGTGGTCCCCTTAGGTTTATGGATTTGGCCAGAGAAGCTTCACTTTTCCAAGTAGTTTTTAATAATTGCACGGTGATTGCTCTGTCATAATGAAGAATAAAAAAATGACACTAAAATATGAGAGGTTGTGGTATTTGAAGTTTTAGAAAGGGAGTTAATGAAACACTAGCTATCACTCTGCAGAAATTCTAGGTTATTTAATATCTTGGACAAAAGGAAACATTTTGATTTTTTTTTAATGACTAGGAGAAACAATGTTTTGAGAAGAGATGTTTTGATTTAGCCTGAGCTTTTTGTGGCAGGGAAAAAAATGTCCATTTTCTCAGTTTTTTCCAGACGACCTCCTTTATACCAAGATGTGTTGTAAGTGATGGAGGAAGTAGGCATCTTCCTGTATCTGGAGGTGCAGGCTGCATCCGGGGAGGGGGCTGGTCCTTGGGCAGTGGCAGCTCCTTTGATGCTCTCATGCTCTCGGATACCCTCAGTGTGTTCTTGTTTACGGAGTGGCAGTGTCTCCAGGATTGTTCAGGAGCTGTACGTAGCCACCAGGGACCACCCGTGCCTGCTATAACTCAACTCAGGCCTCTGGCCTCTCAGAGTTAAAAGTAGGTGAATGGAGAAGATGTGTCACACTTTGTGAAAATGACAGCAAAGGGCCCCACCACATGTCGAGGCAGACATGTCTTTGCTGCTACGATGTGGTTGGATGAGCTTTGCCAGGATTTGGAGGAGGATTCTGCTAGCACAGTGGGTAGTGGCCTGTACTGTCTGTCTTCGAGGCAGCGGGGTGCGGGGCCAAATCACTCAGCTGGAAGCCCCGGTCCCCACCCATTGGGAGAGCTGGCTGCTGGCAAGTAGGGATAAAGTGTGACAGCACTGTGGGTGGAGGCAGTGCCCCCTCTCCAACTCAGACCCTCTTGGGTCTGGGGCCACCAGAATATTCCTCCATTTTGTTGGGGAGACATGTGCACTTCTAGTTGTGCTAGAGAATAGGGTGTCATCCCTGCTTGGGGAGCACGGGGCAGGCCAGCTGGTGCCCAAGGGGGTCGGTACTGGGTCTGCTAAACATGAAGACCGTCTAGTTCTCTGCCTAGACACACCAGAAGCCAGAGACATTTCCACTGGCAATTAAGGCAGACGGCTGTGTCCAGCGATGCCCAGATGCTCACCTGGTTGAAATCTGGCTTTCTGAGCAGCAGACTTGGGTCCTCCTGAGAGGGTGGCAGGCTCTGTTGTCTTAGCTCACGGTCTGTCCATTCATCATGTACGTCCTAAGCTTCATCCTAGTGTGCTCACATCTTACTACCAGAGTGGCATGGGAAAAAGAAGAGCTGTGGATTGTGTGATGTCGAGTCAAACCTAGCAAAGCTAGTGCAGTGACTGCTCCTGGGACAGTCTCCTGGAGGTGTCTGCAGGAGTGGGGAAGGGAGTAGGGACCACCCTGTGGATGTAATCAGAGCGTAACTCAAATCTAAGAAATCATTTATCCTGCTTGTGATTTTTTATTTAAACTCATGGCAGAAAATAATCCAGGACTGTGGACTGATTGTCTTCTTAAAGCAGGGAACAAAATTGAATTCTTCCCAAGAGGACTTGGTGCACATTAAAAGGCAGACTCTTCCCTTGTTTGAATCTGGTCTTTGGAACAGCCCGTGAGAAGAAGAGCAAACACTACCGCTGTCTCTGGGACAGATGTCACTGGGGCCTCGCCAATCTCCTGAGAGCAGGTTGGTGGGGACACAGAAGCCTCCCCCGGCCCAGAAAGCAAGGCCTTTTCAGTGGGTCTGGGCCAGGAGCCCTCAGACAGGTGCAGCATCGAGGGTCTGGGAGGCAGCCATCTGTCAGAGGCAGGGAAGGACCTGTGTTGTCCCCCTGAGGTGTCTGGATTGGGAAGGAAAGAGAGGCAGCTGACAAGAGCGCCCCAGAGTTGAGAGATGTGGGGAGCAGGACAGGAGGGAACTGGAGCCCTCTGAGGTGTGTCCGGACAGCGCTGGTGTGTCTGCGGACTTCTGTGTACCCAGGAGTGAACTGCCCCCTGCTGTCGCCTGCTGTCTGCCTGCTGTGAGGTCACCTGGGTGCTGGAGCTCCGAAAGGTGCCTCCTGAGAGGTCTGGGATGGGCGTGGGCAGCCACCTCCCTACCTGGAGCTTCTACTTCTGCCCCTGTAAAAGGAGCAGCTCTCCAGTCCCCTGGTTCTAGGATTCTAGATGGTCCAAAAGTCCATTAACAGAGTTTAAAGGCAGAGGAGGTGTGACTGTTCCTGGAAAGGCCCCCCGCCCCCCAATCCCAGAGCTACTTTTCACAAGTATCACAGCTCTTGCCTGTGTGTGTGTGTGTGTGTGTGTGTGTGCACGTGTGTCCATTACAATCCTAGAGTCTGTTGGTGCCTTATGGATGTGGCTTTGATTTCCAGCTGGGTCAAGGCAGGTGCAGGGGAGACCAGGATCTCAGGGGTAGGGCTCAGCTCACCAAAGCCACGAGCTTTCCTATGTTCTGGGTGAGGGGCACTACCAACCCAGCTGGAGATCCGTCCCCCCACCCCCACCCCACTCCGCTACACACACCCAGGGGCAGGTGGAGCCACACCTGCTGAGATTGTCCTGTGACCAGATTCTGGGAAGGCTGCCACCTGCTGCTGGGGCCTCTGTGGGAGCGGCAGAAGAAAGCAAGCCTGGGCCTTGCTGGCAGCGCAGCAGGGACCTGGGACTGTCCCAGAGTCCCTGGACAAGGCAAGCAAGCCTGTGTAGGGTGAAGTGCTGGGCCAGGTCCCCACAGGCCCCCACCCCCTCCTCGCTGCCATGCCCATGTCTGATCCAGCTTGCTGGAGGAGTGACCCAGCGGCAGGCACCTACAGAGCTGCTTTCTCTCTTCCTTTTTGTGGCCTGAAAAATGGTGGTAGAGTTTAACAGTGAGAGACAGGGAGGAGTCAAAAGAGGTAACTTATAATTTTTCAGGCAGCTCTGCCTTTTGTGCCTGGAGCTTCTGGCCACTTGGGCTAGAGCAAGCTTCTTCCTCCTTTTGTTGCCATTTCTGGACTTTAGTTTGTTAAATAGTTA